TGCCTGCCCCGCTGCCTTCTGATTCTTACTGGGGCACCACATGGTTTTCCTTCCCCCTCTTCCCTACCAGACTGTGCCCACCCTAAAGGATACTGGTAGCTAACCAGTTATCATTGTAGTTATCAGCTAAACGATTACCTTTGACATCCCTAGTTGCTAGCTGGTGAGAAGAACACACCTACCTGTTGGTTAACTTCTGCGATGAGTGTTGACGTAGCATAGGATAGGGCTGTGAGGCCCGACAGCCCTGCACCCTGTGAGCTTGGGCTGTAGGGACATGAGCACACCCAGTTCTAGCACCCCAGTGGAGATTGCCTGATTCTTGCATGCCATGTCTTGATGTTGTCCTTGTGTTAGGTGGCAGGTGGTTGTAACAGGGAACCCTAACCCTGTTACTAAGAGACAGGGTGGTCCCTTTAAATCCAGAACCTTCCAGTCATGGCCATCCGGTCAAGTAGGGGTTAAGGCTCAAGCCCTGCCAGCTGGTCAGGTAACAGGAAGAGGAAGGCCAGGATCCTACAAATGGCAAGTGGAGAAGGCCAGAGAGGCAGCAGGGAGGTGGACTCCCAATGACCACGGTGCTGTGGCTGTAGTCTCTGTCAGAAGACTACACCATGCCCTGAGCCATCCTCATGATCATCTAAAGGAAGCAGGCATGTTGCCTTTCTTGTTTCTGTATTATCATTTTTCCATTATATGGCCTTAGAAGCCTATGTTTTGTGTTGAATGTTAAGACTGGTAGTTTGGGTGAGGAAGGAGGCCTTATTGGGGGCCCACTGCAGTGCGGGGACCCCAGCACCAGAGAGGGTTCAATATTTGGGGGTGAGCTGACCCCAGCACCAGAGAGGGCACAGGAGCCTGAGTGAGGTTTTTTTGAGAGCTAGAGCCTGGGAGTCAAACCCTGATTAGTAGGGTTTTTTTGACTGACAGGCCTAGCTAGAGAGAAAAGGGACAGGCCCACAGTGGCCGGGACCCCAACATAAAGAGGAATTTACAAATAACATCTGTGAGGATTGGGCTATGGTATAGGGGAGGAACAGAGCTGCAGATAGTGCCCCCTGGCATCGGGGCATACAATGGGCAGCCTCCCATTTAATTAACAACAAGGCATGGCGGGAAGAAGGCGGGCGGTTGGCCCATAACAGGTGGGCGGGGCCACCAGTAGACGGACCCTGGGCAGGCCCCTCCTGTTACAGTGGTCTGCTCCTGCTTCGTGTAGTCCTGGAGGAGCTGGGTCCGGTTCTTCTATGGGACTCCAACTTCCCCCGCACCCTGTCCAAGTGCCACTCTGTGGTTACAGCATCCATTGCACCTTCGGTTCTCAATGAGCACTTCCTCTGTTCTTTGCCCCTCCAGATCTCATTCATCTTGGGCCTGGCTTATGGAGGCCTGGGTGAACTGGCCATCTGATCAGTCAGTTGTGGCACGATCCATGGAGGAGAAATGGAGGACCACACATATGGTGAAACAGAACTCAGGTAAGTCTCAGCCAGTAGGGTCATTGTTACCATGGACTGTGTCCCTTGGCTCTGAGATAATCCAGTCTTTAGGGCTGCAGGTCTTTCTTAAGTGCCCAACTCTCCTCCCAAAAGTAATAAAAGGAACCAAAAGAAAATATACAGGCTTTCCTGGCCACCTTTGCCCAGCTTGGATATTTCCCAGCCTTGGATGCTTTGGTGTCCATCCTCAAAGTTCAGCAGCACCTACTGCCTTCCTAGGTGCGGTGAGTCTGTCCACCTCCCCTCATCAACTCAGTTCCTTAAAGTTGAATCCCCTGCCAGTGTGACTAAGCCAGCAGGGGCTCAATTCTACCCTTTTTCCCAGAGCTGCAGCCCATCCTCCCAGGCTCTATGACCCAGTAAAGTAAAAGGAAAAAAAGACCCAAAAGTAAGACCTGCTTGGAGCATTGCTGGCTCTCCAGATGGCCCCTTTCCTTCAGCATGTCTCCCAGCCAGTGCTCCCTGCCATCCCTACAGCTACAGTTCTCATGGCAGCCCTTAAAATTAATGGAGCCTCCCGGGGCTCCTAAGTTGTAGTTCTGATGGCTGCCCATGGCTTGGAGCTCCTTTGCTGGTGCCTCAGCATTTTCAGCTCCCTGTACTCATCCAGCACCCACTGCTTGCCTTTCCTGCTACCACAGGAGGGGCTGATCTTGATTGAGCAGCTCCTGACAAACCTCAGTGGCTGCTGGTCACTCGTAGACAGTTCCAGCTGGGTCAGTAAGTTTCCCCCTGTTTTGAGCTCAGGAGAGTTTTTTTCTCACTCCTTCACAATGAGGACTTGAAGGCCTACAACTTTTGGTGCACCAGAAAATCTGCCATTTACATAAAAAGTGGGTGGCAGAACTGAGGATCAATGAGATCACTTTCTGGAGGAGGGAGCGCACCTCCCTCAGTCCAATGCTAGACCAAGGATCAGAACAGTAATTCTAGCAATTCTCTAGTTACCTGGGTGTAATACAGAGTGTTTAACCATTTGCTCACTAGTGTTCTGGTACAGAGCTCACAGTCTTTCACAGATGTCTACTAAGTAGGAATAGTGTGCTTTGTGGACCAGATCAGAGCCTGCTGACAGAAGGGGAGCAGGACTCCAGAACAGAGAACTGGAATTTGGATCAGGCCATAAAACAGGCATGGGCTATGGGTAGGGATCTCTGGAATTTGTGCCAGAAGTGCGTGGCATGGTAGCTTCTTTAATCTTGGAGTTTCTCCCACACAACCCCTACCCCTGAGTGGCAGAGGGGCCCTCTCACTCGCCACTCACCACCCATGCCTGATGGCCAGGTGGTGAAAACTGAAGCTTTGGTTTCAGTTGCGGGCAGCAAGTGTAGGTGGTTAGCAGTGAGCAGCAGGGCCCCTCTACCAATCAGCAGTGGGGAGCACATGGAGGAAACTCCAAGATTAAAGAAGCCATCATGCCACGCACTTCCAGCACAAATTCCAGAGATCCCTACCTATGGGATGTTTTGGAATAGTATTATAATATTTGATGCATATTATTCAGGGCCCAGAGCTGGAGTTTAGTAAATGGCATTTACCATCTTTACTACTACAGCTACAATTGTAGAACAGCTGAAAAGGCTTCATGCAACATTACATGCAGGGGTGGGATTTAGCTTCTGAAGAGAACAAGCAGTCTAATAGACTGCAAGTTGGCATCCACATCTACTTGTACCATATCCTCTCAGTTTGGATGTCTTAGTTGAGCAGAGCAGTATGGCTTAAGGCAGCTCAACAGTCCGCCATGTTAACACTCTATAGATTACCTCTCCTCTGTCCAGATGGATTATCTCCTCCACTAGGCCATATTAAGCTGAACTCTCTTTCCTATCAAATACACTTGGGCTTCTAGCCAAACTTCCTCATCCCATAATGTCTGCTTCTCCCGATGGGAATGGTCTGCTTCTTCACTCCCTTTCCCAGCAGAGTTCCTTCCTGGGGCCTTCTGTTCCCTTTATTTCCTACAGAACCTTAGATTTTTCTCTTTTGGAAGGGGGACAGCACTAAAAGCAGGACCTCCTCTGCCCTCTGATGCAGTCTTGAAGGACCATTATCCATTTTCCTCAGATATGCTAGGAAGGAACCTTCAGTATCGCTTCACAGGAAAGCATTCCATTTCTGCCTCACCCTTCCATGCCATTCCCCCACTCTCAAGATGGATTAAGGGAAGGCAGGGGGGAATTTAAACAAGTAGGTAAGGATTCAGATTTATTACATATGTTCATTATTACAAGAAAGGGTCAGGATTGAAATAACTCTGCATTTTGGCACATACACCTCTGTTTGTAACTTGATTATAATGGTAGTTGTTTTAGATTTAAACAATTGCAGCACTGTCCAATGCAGTTTGAGTTATAATTCTGCATGGCTGTGATAGGTGGAAAAGTTCAAGTTGATAGTTCTGTTGGCTATTTGTCCATTCTCATAGTAGCATCCTTGCTTTAGAAGTCTATGGAGGTTCCCATCTGGGGAGCGAGGGGGGGCAAGAACTAGGGTAGTTAGGCTACAGAGGCTTGACTAGCAGGCTATTTCAGCTTCTTGTTTGTTGTCCATTTAAATTTTAACCACACTCTCCCAGGCTGGTGAAGTTTGAAAACTTTTCATGTAAGAAAAACTCTAGTAGGTTGTCAAGATTCCTGGGTAGGACAACATGTAACATCTGTCTCTGTAGTTCACTAACTCTCACCAGTTGTTGATATTCTCTTCTGTCACCAAACATCAAAAATTCTCCTTTGTATATATTGATGATAGTCCACTGGTCTGGAATGTAGCCCCATTTTTCTACTTTTATCACCTTCAAACAGATGTATTGGCTTAAGCACTTCTCCTGCTGGAAATAATATTAAAAGCACTACTAGTGACCAGACCACTGTTAGGATAGGCTCCAGCTGGCCCCGTCTTGGCTGCGAAACATTTTAAATGTATTTAACGCATTTAAAATTTTTGCCCTTATGGATCTGTAAACTGGCAATGGGCATGGCAGAAGTTTTGGAACAGGACAGCAAATAAAGACTGAAGAAGTGCTTTGAAGATGATCTTTGAGAGAAAAGGACAAAACAAAGCAGAAGGACCCGAGAGGCTGTTTGCTCCAGCATTATCACTGATGAGTGTGCAGTCTCCATTATACTAGCATACAGCTAATGATGAAGCCACTGGCAATGTTTGGTGGCCTCTGACCCAAACTGTGGGCATGTCTACACAAGATGCTATGTCACGCTACTTCCAAAAGGAAGTCCAAAATGACAGCACAGTAACAAAGGCACCATATGGCTACTGTACAGATTTACTATCCTCACTTCACACCTATACAGCTACAAATAACTTGCACAATATATTCTGGCACAGGCAAGGAAAACAGGCACACCAATAAGAATATATGGGTGGTATTGTACATAGTAACAGCTTCTCTTTTACCAGGTTGTCTCAGGGCAGGTTTTGATTTCATAAAGTCGTGGCAAAAGAGGGCATGTGGTCTATGGCAGTAAAGGTGGAGCCTGCTTTTCAGTGAGACCTGTTCTCAGCTGGGTTTCCTGTTGAATTTTCATTTTTTTTCCATTAAAATGGCATCTGGCTAACAGTCCCAATAGATATAATTTATTTCACATGCATTATATTACCCTTTTGCTGAGAAAAAGATCCTGATCTTGGCCACTACTTGCAAAAAAGTATTATTTTTTTAAATTCCTTCTTTTCTGAATCACATGACTTTGATCTCAAAACAGAAAAAGTAATGGAAAAAATGTTTCTTTCTCTCTGCTGCATTTAGGATATGGTGTTTTTCCTGAGAGTCCAAGAGAATGATTGTTACCATGCATCCTAACTGAGAAGCCTAACTTTTCCATTACATATAAACATTCTTTGTTGTAAAATTAAAGTTATGGCTTTCATAAAATCATATTTGGAAAAGATTTCACAAGTAAAACCATGTTAGTATGATTTTGGCTATTGTTATTTATAATTTAGGTTTTTCACTGGAATAAGTGATGTGATTATTTCAAGCCTCTGAGCTTCTCTCATCTTATTTATACATTTATCTCATTCATATTCCTTACTTTCCTATTGGCTAAAACAGCTATAGCCAATCAGATGATACTGAAGTTACATAAGGCTCTATTTGAAGACTATATAAAGCCTTTTTGCACTGTAGCAAGGGGGAGAATTCTATCAAGATGCAGGTCCACTGAACAAGGTTCATTCATGAATGAAGAGATTTGTTTCAAGACACACAGAAAACTGAACCAGTGCTGATATATTTACTAGCCAGTCCTTCCCAGCTGTCAACCTGAGTTGCTAGTAGCAGCTACTGAAAGTAGCTTTTGTGCACTATGAAGAATTTTTCATTTCCTATGCAAGATAATACATATCAGACTGAAAGTCCTTTTTCTCGCCGATTCCTGAGCATGACAAATAAGTCAGATCCAGTTGGAAGACCAGAAAGAGATGAGCAATTAGCTCAGGTAGAGATTGCGGTGTTGGGAGTAATATTTATAACAGCATCTGTGGGCAATTTTATTCTCATTTTGGTACTGTGGAGAAGAAGAAAGAAGTTGTCTAGGATGTATGTTTTCATGCTTCACCTGAGCATAGCGGATTTAGTGGTAGCATTTTTTCAAGTCCTTCCCCAATTAATATGGGATATCACAGATGTTTTCATAGGGCCAGATGTCTTGTGCAGAACTATCAAATATTTGCAGCTTGTGGGCATGTTTGCTTCCACTTACATGATAGTGGTCATGACAGTGGACAGATACCAAGCAGTATGCTATCCTATGGTCACTTTCCAAAAGAAAAGAGCTCTTTGGAATGCTCCCATTTGCACCAGCTGGTCTGTATCACTGCTCTTTAGCCTTCCACAGGTATTTATCTTTTCTAAGACTGAAATATCTCCAGGCATCTTTGAATGTTGGGGCAAATTCATCCAACCCTGGGGCTCAAGGGCATATGTGAGTTGGATTTTTGTGGCTATTTTCTTCATTCCCACAGCTATCCTTATCATATGTCAGGTTAAAATCTGCAAAATAATCTATAAGAATATACATGTTAAAAAACGGAATGAGTTTGAAATAAATCAGAAGCAAACTCTGCCATCTCGAACCAGCAGTATTAACTGTATTTCAAAGGCTATGATCAAGACTGTAAAAATGACAGTGGTGACAGTGGTTGCATATGTTCTGTGTTGGGCACCTTTCTTCATTGCACAGTTGTGGTCAGTGTGGTTCCCAAGTGGTGTTACTGAAGGTAAGATATCCCTTTACCTCCTAAATAACTTCATAGCAGACTATCACATTGCCACATTTCTTTTTTTTTTTTTTACATAGAAATTTTATCTAGATATAGAATTTATGGACAGTCATTTGATTGTGACTAAAATTGATTTAATTGCATTTTGCATACGGTATGATGTATACTGGCTGAAGGCTTTTTACAATGCATTTTTTTAATGGTTTTGTATATGTGTATGTGTGTACATATGCATACACATAAGCATGCTTTTGATCATTTTTTCTCTGCAGGTTAGAATTAGTAACCAAGATGAACTAGTATTGATTAGTAAATAGTATAGTAAAAAGGGTTATAACTTTCATCTGAACAAGGAAGGGATCAAGTTATACATTCAGAAATATTTTGTATATTAAAGAAATTGAATCTATCTTTTAAATATAACTAGTGTTCAAATAAAGGAGTAGATTTCTGGTTTAGTATTTATAACAGTGATACTATAAGGAAAAATGTATTCTGAATGTTGAAATATTAGCTATGAACTATGGAATGATTAAAAATTTTGTAACCACAGATATGTATAATACCAATACCAAAATGTCAAAGGATAAAATGCTGTGAGCCACAGTAATCTCACTGATGTTATACTGCAACTCCCTTGTGAAAAGCAGACCATTATATGACTTAAAAATTCAGCTCTCTAGAGATCAAAGATATACATTGAACAAAATTAGACAATAACATTGGCTGCTGAAAAGATTTCACATGATGGTCTTTATTAAAAAAAATCTTGTTGTGCCTCTCAAACTTATAGGATTTTCATAGACCAGGTTAATAAGGAACTATGTTAACATTTGAAATGAGATATATCAAGGCAAAGAAGTTACACACATTTTAAAATACTTTTAATGTATCTGTCACATGTACAGGGATACATATATAGTGTTACATATACAGTGACAATGCACTGTATTCCATAGACAACTAAAGTAGTACAATGCCCTTTCTAAAAACTAAGTAAACTGAAATCTTCTAATGCTATTCTAGCCTTCTTATTATAACAGGATGAAATGATCACACAACATTAAACATATATTAATGTAAAGAATAGGTATATCATGGAACATAAATTACTTTTTCTAATGCCTTTCTTCACTGTTCTCTCTTCCTTATGATATTTTTTTAGGTCCGGTATTTACCATTATCATGCTCCTTGGGAATTTAAATAGCTGTGCCAATCCATGGATTTACATGTATTTTTGTGGCCACCTTCCATATTGTGCAAATAAGCAGCTGGAAAACATCTCAGCTCAAGAAGAATCTGTGATCACAGGAATCATTAATCTGGGAGACAGGGAGCCTGAAGAAAACATTACTTCTGCATAAATAGCCACTGCTTTTTGTCTTCCTGGTACATTTGCTGCATTCAAATCTTATGTCAAAATCTTATCACTGTACTTTGTCTTCTGGGTAATAGAATAAGCTGCAAAATTGTAAATGTCCTTCACTGTACAGATATATTTTCTTAAATGCTGTAGCATACTTATCTCTACAAAAAGTTCCAGTTTTGTGGAAGTCAGACTGAACAGTTATACTGAAGTGAATCGACATAACTGTCAATAATATGTAGATATCTTTATATGATTCATTTATTTTTCTCATATGAATTGCTTTCCATTCTCTAGCTCTAGGCTGCTAGCTAGTACATTTTTACAATCGTGATATCATTTGAAAGAAATCATATAATTAGGTTTGAAGATGAGGGACTTAAAATGAAGCATGACTAATTTAGAATTCTAATGACATTAGGGAAATATCTGACAAATCTTGAGAAGGAAAGAAAATCAGTGAAATCCTTTGCCAGCTGTGACTTATACCAAATCTAATTAAACACTTTGCAACATGTAGAGATTCTGAGCAGTTTCATATCATGCTTTCTCAATGCAATGCTCTTGCCACATTGGACACTTATTCATATATCATCTTAGGTCATAAGACCTTATTATGGTCATGCTCCAGTATAAAAAGAATTGTTATATCTATTTCTATAGATGGGATCCATTCACGAGGAGCACAAACACATGTTTAATACAACTGTACTCTGGCCATATTGCATAAATTACACAATATGTGAATTTTAGCCACATGGAAATGTTACATCATGTTTTGGCAGAATGCTTTCATACTTGTATGGCCATTTAGCACCCATCTGCCGTTACTGAAAATATATCCTGGATGAGGAGCTTGATAAAGCATTCCTAAACCATTTAGCACTCTGTGGGTCCTGCAGTTTAAGCTTCTTGTACTTGCATGATAGAAATAAGACTGCAGTATCTTTGCCTGTAACTGCTGATTGTTTGCTGCTATACTTAATACTAATAGGTATTCTTTCTTCTTTAGCTGTTACCAGTCTATTCAAAAGAACATAGAATGACTTATTAGTGGATCTGTCACAGAACAAGATGGAAGTACACTGGCAGAGACCCTTTGGGGATGAAGATTTGCACATCATTGGTCTGGATTAGGTTGAGCCTAGTCAATGTTACCAATTCTTTATTTTTATTAACGTTGGCTTTTTCAAATTCTTTAAAAAGGTTGAAAAAGTAGACTTTACTTTTGCTTTTCTACTATAATAGGATGTAGTGGAAGAAATACTATTATAATATACACACATCTTAAAAGCTACTAGGTATTTTAAGAGCCAAAAGTACTAGTATTACATTTTGCCTGAATCCTGAGAAGTGCTTATTTACACTGAGTGGGTTTTTATTTTGTGTTAATATTAGCTAGTGTGATTACATTTCCCATTATTGACTAGTCCCCTGTAACTATAATGACTTATTGCTTACCATTAGCAGAGCTTATATTTTGGGGACGCTGATCCAGGATTAATCATCTCTGATGAAGGGATGTCTTGTCTGGGGAAAAATAGCTTGAACCATGGACAGCTGTGGAGAATGAGACTGGGGAACTGAAGAGAGTAGCTAGAGTCAGAATTCATCATATTACAGGCTGGTTACAAATAAACAGATGGATACAACAACAGCTAGCAGATATGAAAAGTGTTTAATAGATCCAAATTCCTGCCCATATTTAGTTTGAAACTCAAATTCAGTTATTAAACCAAAATATGACAGTTTTTGCATTATTATTTAGGAATTAAAATGGTTAGGTATGATTGATTTCTAGGCTAGTATCAGGTAGCATTGAATTCCATGATTGAGCAGATTTTGGCCCACATATTTAAGATATTATTCATTTACTCATGCCTGTGAAAACAAATTTGGCATTTTGAAGTCTAGCCTAGTATTCTTTTTTTTTATTCCTGAATTCACCAATTTTAATGTAAACAATATTATGTACACTTCGCAAGATAGCTTAGAAGTGAATTACTTGCCAGCTAGTGAAGGGACAGTGTTTTTCTGTGTCCCTCAGTAAGTTAATAGATACTTAGCTTGAAATGATTTAATGCTTAGTGGCTCCAGATTTTGACTTATCCAAGAAAAAAATCTGCACTTCATCACAGAGAAGTACAAGCTTTCTGGCAAGCAAAGTCATAACATGGACACACTCATATTGATGCATTCAGTCCATATTCTAGTTTGCTGAAGGTGATTCATGATCTTGATCTTCAGATGAGAAAATTGATGTAGCCTCAGCTTCTGAGCTGGAAAGTGTTCAGCAACAACAATAAAGAAAATGAACTATCTGTTCATAAAAAGTATGCTAGTAAACAAAAGCACAAGTATCCTGTTTTTCTTTTAAATAATGGCATGACTGCAGTTGTGATGCATTTGCTGCAGAAGAGGACATGGAAAGCTCCATTGTGGTATTTTGGCTCTTATTTTTTCTATTTGTATAGACGGTAGTTTAATTGAATAATTTCACGCAAAAAAAACCTATCACATTTACTCAAATAGAAGATGACTCCAATTATAAGATGCCCCCCCCCCTCAATAATTAGATTCTATACCTGGAAGATTATAACAGTTTTATATTTTTTTCATATATGGAATCTAATTATTGGAGGTTTGCCTTGAATTTATCCCTTTCCCATTGCTACAGCAGAGAAAATAAATCTGGGAAAGCCTTCATATATACTATTATATTATTTAATAAAAGTATGAAATATTTACTTAAATATGTTGAGTGACTATAAAAAAAATCACAATATGATAGGATAGTTTTATTTTTCCCTTCTTTCTTTGAGTTTGTGTTTTTAGCATTATATACGTCTGTACTGTTGTTACTTAAATGTTGAGTTATTGATATTGAGGACTGGAAAGTCAGAAATGAAACACCTCTGAGAAACACATTCCTGCTCTTGACACTGACTGAAGGTAACCTGAAATATCTGGGAGATTTAATGATGTCATTCTTAATACATAGGTTCGAAGATTTATCTAGATGTTTCATACTGTGACTGGAATAAAACTGTGAAGCTGACTTCAGCTGGATATTCAGAGGCACAAACCCAGGGGTGGATCCAGAGGAAGTGCAGTGGTACAGGTGTCCTTTTGGTCTGGAGCACATCACAGGAGCCTCTGGGGACTTCTTTAAAGTCCCTAAAACAGGTGAGAATCCCCCCCTGCCTTTCCCTCAGTGTTCAGAGGCACATCCCCTTTTCTCCCCTTTCCCTACATCCCCTGCCTGCTGCTGCTTTCCCCTCTGTCCTAGGGGTGGGGGAAGCTTCAGAGCCACTCCCGCTCTTTCCAGCTGGGCTGTGTGGGGATTGGGCTCAGCTAGGGCATTGACAGTCGCAGCAGTAGTAGTCTCCTGGGGGGACTGAGCAGTGTTGGGGAACCCACCCTCTGCCCATTGCTGCTGCTACTGTTGCTGCTCCAGCTGAACCCAGGCCCTGTGAGGCCTGGCTGGAGTGGACAAGAAGCTTTCTCCACCCCCAAGCAGGGAAAGCAGCAACAGGGGGAGGGGGAGGAGAGGGGTGAGAATGTGCCTCTGAGCACAGAGGGGAAGGGAGGGGGGAATTCTCACCTGCCTTGGGAGCTTTAAAACGTCCCTGGACACCCCTGCAGCATGGTCTGCCCACAACAGTAGGAGGAGGAGGCTAGGAGAGGGGGAATGTAGCCACCTTCCCAGTCTCCTTTGCCAAATCCTGAATCTGCCCCTGCAGGGAACATGGGGGGGGAGGGGGCATCCTGCTGTTGCTGTCCTCTGCTGAGCCCAGCTCTGGAGTTCTCCCCTCTGCCCATACCAGCCAGGGACAGCAGCAGCAGTGGGCAGGGGAAGGGTCAATGGAAGGGGAAGATATGTATTGCTGAGCCTGGAAGGGAAGGAAGGGGATACTAAGAAGGGGGCAATATGATTCTTACTTGTTTTGAGGACTTGCAAAAAAATTCCTGGCTGCTGCTCCCACAGCATGGTCCAAAGGGGTGGTATATCCATGCCACTGCACCCCTTGTGGATTTGCGTGTGTGCATGCGTGTGCGCATGCTTGCGTGCATGTGTATCTTTTAAAAGCAAAATACATAGTTTAGGTAAATGATGTTTGGTGCCCCTTGTAGCTGAAAATCCAGCACCAAAACACTGCAAAAAAAATTGCTATCCACTCATGACACCCCAATATCATTCCCACTGACATCACCCATGTTTAAAGTTGCCTCTTGCAAATGTAAATAGTTATAACACTTGCTGTATCACTTGAACATGCATATCTTTTACATGCTTTATTGTCTTTAAGGACACTACTCCTCCTCCAGAGAATTTCTGCTTGGACTGTTTTAAACCATTGTTTTCAAATACTTAAATGCATAACAAATGCACAAATCAGATAAACAGAAAAGAATCAGAAACATTGTTACAGGCCAAAAGGATAATAGTGTTTTCATTTGCTTTGCCAGTTTTCATGTTTTCTGTGTAAGTGACTGGCATATTCACAGGTACTCTTCATAACAAACAAATACACTAAAGGAAGCACAGGCTGTGTAGAAAACAATCAGCTACCAAGCAATGTCTCTCAAGGGTTTATGCTACAGCAGAACATGCTGTAACAGACAGCTAAAAATTATGAGTTTGAGGATCATTGAACAAAGTTAATTTCCCCCTAACTGTATTACACAATTACAGAAAGACTTGTGTTGAATGACTTCTTCTAGCCAGCTGTGAACATTTGTAGACTGCTTAATAGCCATCCAATTTTTCCCAGTCTGGTAAAAGCTCAGATCTAAAACCTTTAAAGGGCTTTATTTTTGTTTGTTGTTTAATTGTTTTAGGTGTTACTGTTACTAAGGGTCAGAATAAGTTTTGTGAATTCCCCCTAAAATTAAATGCATATACTGCTAATGGGCAGCAAGAGGGAAGGGTGCTACAAAGTTGGTTTTCTGCCACATTTTTGGAACTTCCACTTCAGTCCTGGAACCAGAGACAGGACAGTTCAGGCCTCAATACAAAGAAACCTCAGGTCTGCTCTAGAAGTTGCACACAGCTGCAGCCTTCACCAAGTGGATTGCAGTAGTATAGCAGCACTCTAGGCACGTGACCTTTAAGATCCTTGTTACATGGTAAATTTAGGTGTCTTCTGGAGCTCTTAACCTCTGAACTTGCTGCCTGTTAACACCTTTTAAGTGACTTAAAACACTCATCATTTGGCTTAAAGTTATGCCACTCCAGGGTAGGGTTATCTCCAATCTGCCTCAATCTGTTCATGTTCCATTACCGTGTGGCCACGGTTCCAACAGCTATTCCACTCAAGTTCTGTCCTCCAGTATCCCAGAATGCAGTGCTCTTCCTGACTCGGGGTGAGTTGGCACAACATGGCTGGGCACAGTGTCTTGCCCCTCGGGCAGAGAGATCATTGCAGCTCCAGAGCACCCAGCAGGCATTGTGCCTCCCACTGCTGCCCAGACTGGCTCTGCTCCCACTGGCAGTGACATGGGGGCAGGTGTAACTTGAGCTCCAGAGAAAAAGGATCAGGCCCCCCAGAGCTTAAAGTGAGCCAGCTCCAGGGCTGCAGCCCTGGAGCTCTGTGGTCTCACTACAACTGATGCAGCGGTTCTGTGCTGAGAGCAGGGCTGCCAGGGCTTAAGCCCAACAGTCCTGCTGTCAGTGCAGAGCCACTGGTTTTATTGAGATTGCAGAGCCCCAGGGAAGCTGCTTCCTCCGGTCTCTGGTTTCACTGCAGTGGACACGGTGCTGGGCCCACTCTCTGCCTTGGCAGGAGCAGCGACCTGGTCCTGCTTCTAGTCCTGCCCCTGCTTATCCAACTTCTAGTGACAAGTCACAGCTGTGGAGGTGAAGGACAGTCAGAGCAGGTTTTTTACCTTACCGTGCAACTGCTCCACTAAGCTGATTAACACCTGTTTGGCTTACAGCGTAAGATCTACCAGGGCCATAAAGTGGAGGTCAGGAGGAAGAAGTAATACACTGTCAACTGTTACACTAGGGTGAGTCTCATACAGTGAGTTAAATGGGCTTTCCAACTGCTTTGTAGGATGGAAATATGGTGTTTTTAAATGAAGAGGCAGAAAGTGTTCCATTATTCCGTATTATCCTGTAGTTATTCATATAATGGAAGTACCTAAAGCCCCTTTAAGCACCAATATGTTAGGTGTTGTATAAAGACCTATCTAGACATGGGGAGTCCTATGAAGTGCTTGAAGTCTTATTTAAGACAAAACACAACCCTCAGCCAAATGACATAAAATATGGGGGCCTTGTAAGTCAATTTTCAGAAGAAACTACAGAAATAACATAAAGCTTCTTAGTGTAGCTTTTTATTTACTGTTTATACAGCAGTCCTTGAATACAAATGACCACAGGGTATTAAAGATGCTCTCAGGATCTTTTGCTTTTCAGGCATCTCAGCAGAAACACCAATGCCTGGTCCCATGGAACAACTTGCCCCAAGAATTCACTGTATTTCTAGGGATTAAGTCAGAGAGTACTCATTCCATTTCCAACAGCTTCTCCCCCACCTCCCACCCCACATAAAAATTAGTACCACAAGACTAATAT